GTACCAGTACATGTACCGGTACTCCGTAATTTACGCTAGCTAGCAAAGTATAGTTTTTAACTGACATGACGTGTGGGAGTTTGTATGGATGCTAGGACAGATTGGCCGAGCGTTTAAGCCGATAGACTCGAAATCTATTGGGGTAACCCGCGTGAGTTCAAGTCTCACAGCTGTCGACATCTTTCTGCGTGCTTGTCGTTTTTGAACGACTTTGAGCTGGCCGGCGCTTCGCTTGTGTGTGTGTGTGGCCTTGCCGCGCGAGGTCGACCTGGATGTGGCACTGCTTTCAGTAAGAAGACCGTGGACATGAAGCAGGGACGAATGCATCTACCGGCGTTTGGTGGCGTCCGTACGACGGGTGTGTAGGCGGGAGGTGGCGCTGCGGGTAACCACGACTTGTTCGGTGTCGGGTGAGGGCAGCCAGGGCGTGTTCGAAGCTTGGTTGGCGTGTAATGGTTGAAGCAACTTTGCGTGGGTGTGTGGGAGTCTGTATGGATGCTAGGACAGCTTGGCCGAGCGGTTAAGGCGATAGACTCGAAATCTATTGGGGTAACCCGCGTGAGTTCAAGTCTCACAGCTGTCGACATCTTTATGCGTGCTTGTCGTTTTTGAACGAATTTGAGCTGACCGGCGCTTCGCTTGTGTGTGTGTGTGTGGCCTTGCCGCGCGAGGTCGACCTGGATGTGTCACTGCTTTCAGTAAGAAGACCGTGGAGACGAAGCAGGAACGAATGCACCTACCGGCGTTTGGTGGCGTCCGTACGACGGGTGTGTAGGCGGGAGGTGGCGCTGCGGGTAACCACGACTTGTTCGGTGTCGGGTGAGGGCATCCAGGGCGTGTTCGAAGCTTGGTTGGCGTGTAATGGCTGAAGCAACTTTGCGTGGGTGTGTGGGAGTCTGTATGGATGCTAGGACAGCTTGGCCGAGCGGTTAAGGCGATAGACTCGAAATCTATTGGGGTAACCCGCGTGAGTTAAAATCTCCACAACTGTGACATCCTCTTTGCGTGCCTTGTCGTTTCTTAAACGAATATCAGCTGACCGGCGCTCTCGCCTTGTGTGTGTGTGGCCTTGCCGCGCGAGGTCGACCCTAGAATGTGGCACTGCTCTCAGCAAAGAAGACCGTGGACACGAAAGCAGAGACGAATGTCCCTACCGGGCGTATGGTGGCGTCTGTACGGGCGGGTGTGTAGGGCGGGAGGGTGGCGCTGCGGGTACCCACGAACTTGTTCAGTGTCGTGTGAGGGCACCCAGGGGCGTGTTAAAAGCTTGGTTGGCGTGTAATGGCTGAAGCAACTTTGCGTGGGTGTGTGGGAGTTTGTATGGATGCTAGGACAGATTGGCCGAGCGTTTAAGGCGATAGACTCGATATCTATTGGGGTAACCCGCGTGAGTTCATGTCTCACAGCTGTCGACATCTTTCTGCGTGCTTGTCGTTTTTGAACGACTTTGAACTGGCCGGCGCCTCGCTTGTGTGTGTGTGGCCTTGCCGCGCGAGGTCGACCTGGATGTGTCACTGCTTTCAGCAAGAAGACCGTGGACATGAAGCAGGAACGAATGCACCTACCGGCGTTTGGTGGCGTCCGTACGACGGGTGTGTAGGCGGGAGGTGGCGCTGCGGGTAACCACGACTTGTTCGGTGTCGGGTGAGGGCAGCCAGGGCGTGTTCGAAGCTTGGTTGGCGTGTAATGGCTGAAGCAACTTTGCGTGGGTGTGTGGGAGTCTGTATGGATGCTAGGACAGCTTGGCCGAGCGGTTAAGGCGATAGACTCGAAATCTTTTGGGGTAACCCGCGCGAGTGCATGTCTCTCACACGTCTACATCTTTATGTGTGCTTGTCCTTTTTGAACGAATTTGTGCTGACTGGCGCTTCGCTCGTGTGTGTGTGTGTGGCCTTGCCGCGCGAGGTCGACCTGGATGTGTCACTGCTTTCAGTAAGAAGACCGTGGAGACGAAGCAGGAACGAATGCACCTACCGGCGTTTGGTGGCGTCCGTACGACGGGTGTGTAGGCGGGAGGTGGCGCTGCGGGTAACCACGACTTGTTCGGTGTCGGGTGAGCGCACCCAGGGCGTGTTCGAAGCTTGGTTGGCGTGTAATGGCTGAAGCAACTTCGCGTGGGTGTGTGAGAGTTTGTATGGATGCTAGCACAGATTCGCCGAGCGTATAAGGCGATAGACTCGATATCTATTGGGGTAACCCGCGTGAGCACATGTCTCACAGCTGTCGACATCTTTGTGCGTGCTTGCCGTTTTAGAACGACTGTGAGCTGCCCGGCTCTTCGCTTGTGTGTGTGTGGCCTTGCCGCGCGAGGTCGACCTGGATGTGGCACTGCTTTCAGTAAGAAGACCGTGGACATGAAGCAGGGACGAATGCATCTACCGGCGTTTGGTGGCGTCCGTACGACGGGTGTGTAGGCGGGAGGTGGCGCTGCGGGTAACCACGACTTGTTCGGTGTCGGGTGAGGGCAGCCAGGGCGTGTTCGAAGCTTGGTTGGCGTATAATGGTTGAAGCAACTTTGCGTGGGTGTGTGGGAGTCTGTATGGATGCTAGGACAGCTTGGCCGAGCGGTTAAGGCGATAGACTCGAAATCTATTGGGGTAACCCGCGTGAGTTCAAGTCTCACAGCTGTCGACATCTTTATGCGTGCTTGTCGTTTTTGAACGAATTTGAGCTGACCGGCGCTTCGCTTGTGTGTGTGTGTGGCCTTGCCGCGCGAGGTCGACCTGGATGTGGCACTGCTTTCAGCACGAAGACCGTGGAGACGAAGCAAGGACGAATGTGCCTAGTGGCGTATGGTGGCGTCCGTATGGCGGGTGTGTAGGCGGGAGGTGGCGCTGCGGGTAACCACGACTTGTTCAGTGTCGGGTGAGGGCATCCAGGGCGTGTTCAAAGCTTGGTTGGCGTGTAATGGTTGAAGCAACTTTGCGTGGGTGTGTGGGAGTCTGTATGGATGCTAGGACAGCTTGGCCGAGCAGGTTAAGGCGATAGACTCGAAATCTATTGGGGTAACCCGCGTGAGTTCAAGTCTCACAGCTGTCGACATCTTTATGCGTGCTTGTCGATTTTGAACGAATTGGAGCTGACCGGCGCCTCGCTTGTGTGTGTGTGTGGCCTTGCCGCGCGAGGTCGACCTGGATGTGGCACTGCTTTCAGCACGAAGACCGTGGAGACGAAGCAAGGACGAATGTGCCTGCGGTGACATGGTGGCGTAGCTACGGCATGTGTGTAGGCGGGAGGTGGCGCTGCCGGTAACCACGACTTGTTCAGTGTCGGGTGAGGGCATCCAGGGCGTGTTCGAAGCTTGGTTGGCGTGTAATGGTTGAAGCAACTTTGCGTGGGTGTGTGGGAGTCTGTATGGATGGTAGGACAGCTTGGCCGAGCGGTTAAGGCGATAGACTCGAAATCTATTGGGGTAACCCGCGTGAGTTCAAGTTTCACAGCTGTCGACATCTTTATGCGTGCTTGTCGATTTTGAACGAATTGGAGCTGACCGGCGCTTCGCTTGTGTGTGTGTGTGGCCTTGCCGCGCGAGGTCGACCTAGATGTGGCACTGCTTTCAGCACGAAGACCGTGGAGACGAAGCAAGGACGAATGTGCCTAGTGGCGTATGGTGGCGTCCGTATGGCGGGTGTGTAGGCGGGAGGTGGCGCTGCGGGTAACCACGACTTGTTCAGTGTCGGGTGAGGGCATCCAGGGCGTGTTCAAAGCTTGGTTGGCGTGTAATTGGTTGAAGCAACCTTGCGTGGGTGTGGTGGGGAGTCTTGTATGGATGTCTAGGGAACGCTTGGCCGAGCGGTTAAGGCGATAGACTCGAAATCTATTGGGGTAACCCGCGTGAGTTCAAGTCTCACAGCTGTCGACATCTTTATGCGTGCTTGTCGTTTTTGAAACGAATTTGAGCTGACCGGCGCTTCGCTTGTGTGTGTGTGTGGCCTTGCCGCGCGAGGTCGACCTAGATGTGGCACTGCTTTCAGCACGAAGACCGTGGAGACGAAGCAAGGACGAATGTGCCTAGTGGCGTATGGTGGCGTCCGTATGGCGGGTGTGTAGGCGGGAGGTGGCGCTGCGGGTAACCACGACTTGTTCAGTGTCGGGTGAGGGCATCCAGGGCGTGTTCGAAGCTTGGTTGGCGTATAATGGTTGAAGCAACTTTGCGTGGGTGTGTGGGAGTCTGTATGGATGCTAGGACAGCTTGGCCGAGCGGTTAAGGCGATAGACTCGAAATCTATTGGGGTAACCCGCGTGAGTTCAAGTCTCACAGCTGTCGACATCTTTATGCGTGCTTGTCGTTTTTGAACGAATTTGAGCTGACCGGCGCTTCGCTTGTGTGTGTGTGTGGCCTTGCCGCGCGAGGTCGACCTGGATGTGGCACTGCTTTCAGCACGAAGACCGTGGAGACGAAGCAAGGACGAATGTGCCTAGTGGCGTATGGTGGCGTCCGTATGGCGGGTGTGTGGGCGGGAGGTGGCGCTGCGGGTAACCACGACTTGTTCAGTGTCGGGTGAGGGCATCCAGGGCGTGTTCAAAGCTTGGTTGGCGTGTAATGGTTGAAGCAACTTTGCGTGGGTGTGTGGGAGTCTGTATGGATGCTAGGACAGCTTGGCCGAGCGGTTAAGGCGATAGACTCGAAATCTATTGGGGTAACCCGCGTGAGTTCAAGTCTCACAGCTGTCGACATCTTTATGCGTGCTTGTCGTTTTTGAACGAATTTTAGCTGACCGGCGCTTCGATTGTGTGTGTGTGTGGCCTTGCCGCGCGAGGTCGACCTGGATGTGGCACTGCTTTCAGCACGAAGACCGTGGAGACGAAGCAAGGACGAATGTGCCTAGTGGCGGATGGTGGCGTCCGTATGGCGGGTGTGTAGGCGGGAGGGGGCGCTGCGGGTAACCACGACTTGTTCAGTGTCGGGTGAGGGCATCCAGGCGGTGTTCAAAGCTTGGCTGGCGTGTAATGGTTGAAGCAACTTTGCGTGGGTGTGTGGAAGTCTGTATGGATGCTAGGACCGCTTGGCCGAGCGATTAAAGCGATGACCTCTGACTGTCTTGTGACATAACAGCGTGAGTTCAAGTCTCACAGCTGTCGACATCTTTATGCGTGCTTGTCGTTTTTGAACGAATTTGAGCTGACCGGCGCTTCGCTTGTGTGTGTGTGTGGCCGTGCCGCGCGAGGTCGACCTAGATGTGGCACTGCTTTCAGCACGAAGACCGTGGAGACGAAGCAAGGACGAATGTGTCTAGTGGCGTATGGTGGCGTCCGTATGGCGGGTGTGTAGGCGGGAGGTGGCGCTGCTGGTAACACGACTTTGTTCAGTGTCGAGAGAGAGCATCCAGGGACGTGTTCTAAGCGTGGGTTGTCGTGTAATGGCTTGAAGCAACTTTTGCTTGGGTGTGTGGGAA